TTTGAAACATGTGTTTTTGAATATTCATGGAGTTAGTTGGAAATATTGTTTTATTTTTTAAAGACCAAGTTCGCCCATTTTTTCAACACATTTGCAGTGGTCTGAGGATAAATGAATGCCTTGTCAGTTGATCCCTGTGGGATTAAAGCTCTGGCGCTCCAGTTTCAGGAAGTAGAAGTCAGCCAGATGAGCAGCAGATGGCAGGATGTGGAGTTTTATTTCCTGATTTTTTGACATCTCGCCTCTGATTGGCTTACAGCAACACGACTCTACCTCCGACTTGCAACGTGGATGTTTTATGTCCACAAATAACACAAGCCTGGGGGAGTTCTGCTGTGTGGTGGAGTTGCTAATGCTATTGTATAGCTTCGACAAGCTAAGATGAGCTCTGCTCTCTTCCGAATGCCAATTCAACAACAGCCTTCCTCGTCACGTGTCCATGAACGTTCTTTTACAGTGTGATGTACAGGTGCTGGCCAGTAAATTAGAATATCATCAAAAGGTTGAAAATATTTCAGTAATTCCATTCAAAACGTGAAACTTGTACATTATATTCATGCAATGCACACAGACCAATGTATTTCCGATGTTTATTACGTTTAATTTTGATATTTATAGGTGACAACCAATGAAAACATCAAATCTGGTATCTCAGAAAATTAGAATATTCTAAAGGCCAATGAAAAAATGTTTGTTTCTCTAATGTTGGCCAACTGAAAAGAATGAACATGAAAAGAATGTGCATGTATAGCACTCAATACTTAGTCGGGGCTCCTTTTGCCTCAATAACTGCAGTAATGCGGCGTGGCATGGACTCGATCAGTCTGTGGCACTGCTCAGGTGTTATGAGAGCCCAGGTTGCTCTGATAGTCGTCTTCAGCTCCTCTGCATTGTTGGGTCTAGCGTATTGCATCCTCCGCTTCACAATACCCCATAGATTTTCTATGGGGTTAAGGTCAGGCGAGTTTGCTGGCCAATCAAGGACAGGGATACCATGGTCCTTGAACCAGGTGCTGGTGGTTTTGGCACTGTGTGCAGGTGCCAAGTCCTGTTGAAAGGTGAAGTCTGCATCCCCATAAAGTTGGTCAGCAGCAGGAAGCATGAAGTGCTCTAAAACTTCCTGGTAGACGGCTGCATTGACCCTGGACCTCAGGAAACAGAGTGGGCCAACACCGGCAGATGACATGGTACCCCACACCATCACTGACGGTGGAAACTTTACACTGGACCTCATGCAACGTGGATTCTGTGCTTCTCCGCTCTTCCTCCAGACTCTGGGTCCTTGATTTCCAAAGGAAATGCAGAACTTGCTTTCATCAGAAAACATAACTTTGGACCACTCAGCATCAGTCCAGTCCTTTTTGTCCTTGGCCCAGGCGAGACGCTTCTTGCGCTGTTTCATGTTCAAGAGTGGCTTGACACACGGAATGCGACACCTGAATCCCATGTCTTTCATGAGTCTCCTCGTGGTGGTTCTTGAAGCGCTGACTCCAGCTGCAGTCCACTCTTTGTGGATCTCCCCCACATTTTTGAATGGGTTTGTCGTCACAATTCTCTGCAGGGTGCGGTTATCCCTAGAGCTTGTACACTTTTTTCTACCACATTTTTTCCGTCCCTTCGCCTGTCTGTTAATGTGCTTGGACACAGAGCTCTGCGAACAGCCAGCTTCTTTAGCAATCACCTTTTGTGTCTTGCCCTCCTTGTGCAAGGTGTCAATGATTGTCTTTTGGACAGCTGTTAAGTCAGAAGTCTTCCCCATGATTGTGGTGCCTTCAAAACAAGACTGAGGGACCTTTTAAAGGCCTTTGCAGGTGTTTTGAGTAAATCAGCTGATTAGAGTGGCAGCAGGTGTCTTCTATATTCAGCCTTTTCAGAATATTCTAATTTTTTGAGATACCAAATTTGGAGTTTTCATTAGTTGTCACTTATGAATATCAAATTTAAATGTAATGAACATTGGAAATACATTGGTCTGTGTGCATTGCATGAATATAATGTACAAGTTTCACGTTTTGAATGGAATTACTGAAATATTTTCAACCTTTTGATGATATTCTAATTTACTGGCCAGCACCTGTAGATCTGAGCGGCTTTTCTCATCCGAGCATTTCTCCATCTATTTCCTATCAGCGGCTAAAGGAGGAAATAGGGGTAGAAGACTATTTCTCAGGGATTTTGCTCTTTAAGAGTGAACATTTTTTGTTTAATATAGCAGCAATATGTTTTATATTGTATCTTTTGAACATTTATGGAAAAACCATTCTCCACTGCCAGAGACTATTCTTAATTTCCGTTTTCCCAATTCTCCCAGTCCGAATTTAGGAGAGATGCTCCATTTCAGCCCTCGACCAGACGCGTCTGGGATTCCACTTTCCTTCCTTCTTAAATCCCCAGAGTTTTGGCCAACCTCTTAAACTCTACACTGTCTCCTGGAGCTTTTTTTTCCAGACAGTTTTAAGGCTAAGCCTTTCTGAATGGTTTGAGAAGCAATGCAGGTCAGTAGTCTTGTTTCTCCTTAAAGCAAAGAAAAATAGAAGAGACTGATAAATATTTCAGCGCTACTGATGCTGGAATCGGAAGACTAGTGGCTACATGGGGTGGGGGCTTAACCGGCAGGAAGTGGGACATTAAGGGGGGTCGTGGTAAATACAGATTTGCCCATATTTACCATGAAACAGGAAATGGGTTTGTCAGATTTAACCCGTTAATTATTCATTGCAGCTCTTTGGAAAATGTATTTATGGTGCTAGTTTTTGAGGTAAGGTCAGAGTTTTATCCTTTAACCCCAGCGCGCTTCCTGATAGATTTCATCTTCCTTGGTCCTGTGGGGTTTTTTCCGCGTTATGCTTTTATTTGCTGTAAACAATATTCAAATATGTGAAAATCCCGTCACATTGGAAATTAGGTGCGACCGCTTGGGCATTTCAACATAATTGTTGAGTGTTTATCAGCAGCGAGTACTGTTCCTGCAGACTGAGGAGGGTAATTGTTCACTGTTGAAACTCCAATAGTCTTTTCAATATGGTTTAATTAGCAGGATCAAATGAGTAAAGATGCACTGATGTAACCATATGCATGAGAAATGGGCAGATCATGCCCTGTGGTGCCTGGCTTTTCTAATACCATCTTATCTGCTAATCCAGACGATGAGTCATAGCAAAGAAAGGAGGGGGGGGGGGGGGGGCTCATTGAGAAAAGTGAGTACAGCAGGGAAGGATGACAAAAGTTGATGGGATTTGCTCAAAAGGAGAACAGTAGGATGAAGAAGTGAGAAAATATTCTAATCAGTCCTGAAGGCTAATCTGCGTTACGGAAAGATGCAGCTGCTGTTTAGCATCACCTTTCTCTGTTTACATGCAAGACAACCTCTTGATGTCTAGGTGCAGATGATGCCTGTATGCTCTTGAAAAGTGTTTCTTTGCTGTGCAAAAGCAGGACCAGGCTGGTTAATTCTAATCTATAATAAAAGTTGAATATGGAACACAAACCCCAAAGTGACATCTAGTGTGTGAAGGTTGTATAGAGCAAGGTTTCCAGCCGTCGGGTACCAGGTTTGCTGCCCACAAATGAAATGTTTTTATCGGATCCATCTGTTGTAGGCTTCACCTAAACTCATTCCGGTTTTAGACATTTTATGGTCGCCCCTCTTCTGAGAAGGATAATGACATCTTCTGGGCTCAGAGCTAGATCATTCAGTTCTCATGGAGCTTACAGATTTTGTTCCCCTTTTCCCCTCCTGCACTTTTGGGATCTACCACCTCAGACCATGATGTTATTTAGGTTTATGTTAGGTTTGAGTCCTTGCAAGTCAAAATGAAGAAGGGTTGTTCCATATTAGCAAACTTCTGCCCTCCAAGTTTTCCTATGAAGTATCAGGATTAGTGCCTTCATCAAACACCTGTCATAGCATGTCTACTGCCCTCTGGTGGACGGCCTACCAGTGACAAGGACCCACTTTATTTGACTATTACTGTTATGTTGCTATGTAATTACATCATAAAATAAAACTAATTGTATTGTTTCTTAGTATTAGACTGTAAATAGTTAAGTTGAAAAGGCATTTATTAAAAACGATAAATGTCTTATACCTCGTGCATTAAGGGCTTAAATCTGCTTTCCGATGCCTGAGCTGTTGTTTTTTTGTTTCTTTAGCAGGCATTCCTTCTAAAAAGTAATTAGTTGTAGAACGATAAACAGATTTTCTCAGGGGAATATTTGATCATTGAGAGCCGAGACTCACTTAGGTCCTGATGGTGGTCGAAGGGACTGGTGGCTCCCGTGTTCGGCTGTCCTGATTCCAGCAGTGCATCAGCTCATCATCACCAGCGTGGGAATGTGTGTGTGGATGGGTGAATGCCTGATTGTGTTGTGAAGCACCTTGGGGGGTTGTAGACTTCTTCATGTACCATTTCCCCCATCTGCCATAAAGGGTTTACTGTGTTAACATGTTTTTAACCACCACCAATCTGTGCTCATCAAATCTGCAGATGTAGATTTGCTGATGTCCTACACTGTGAGGTTAGCTTTGCATGGTGAGGAGAACATACAGTATGTTGCCGCCTACTGACGGGGAGTTGATGGTTTCCAGTCTAAGCTGAGCTGTAAGCAAACACATGGACCCCCTTACAAGAATAAAACATGTAAATCCCAGTCTTGTATGTTGTGACATCCAACACAAAAAAAAACTATACACTTAATACTGATAGATAAATTGTGTATTAATCATCTGTTATGACCTAGATACTGTTTTATCTGCACGTGGTTTTGCACAAAAATAACACGGATGATTCACTTCTTTTGTTTTGAATTTGTTCATTATTGTGTAATAACGTTGACGTTTTGTGGTTTTAGTCTTCTAGTGAGTTTCCATGTTGATATTTATTCATGATGTAATAAAAGACTGTGTTATTTGTTCACACTGCTGAAAGTGATTCCTTTATTGCCGCTTTAACATATTTTGATGATTCCAAAACAGCAAACAGCGAAACGTCTTTACTTACTATCCAAACACTGAGCGCAGACGGTCTGAGTGGCGCCGCATTCCTTCACCACTCCCTCTCCAGGTGGACACTCCAAACAGCATTCCCCGCCGTCCGTGTAACGGCCGGAGCTGCAGTCGGGAAACAGAGCCCGCTCCGTCTTAGATGTCCTCGCCAACGTCACCTGTCACGCAGGGGGAGCAGTTGAGTAGATGACAAAAACGAATGCAGTCACTGACTCGTAAACTCGGAGCCCCTGTGACCTGAACGTGTGCCGCCAAGTAAATGGATGGTATTACTGCCATGTGCTCAACCTGTTCTTGAAATCTAAGGGCTATCAGAATCTACCGTAAATCACGCTGACTTCATCGATATGGGCCACACTCAGAACAAAGCCATCGTCTAAACTGCTTTAATAGCTCCCCTAAAGGCACATCAGCTCTAATGCTGAACCTAGAACGAGCTGCAGCCGAGGCAGAAACCGTATAATTGTGTGTGCTCAACGTTATACACATGCCCGTCTTAATTACTGTCCAAAGGTGATAGCTGCTGTGAATGTCAGCCTCTGTTTCTGCTCACCACTGGTGCACACAGCTTTACTGCTACGCTTCTGAGGATGCGTTATTGAAAAAGCACATTCCTTCTCCATCACTTCCAATCTTCTCCAACATGTGCATCCCTAAAAAAACCATTTCCCGTCTCATTAAGGGAGGAATGTGCCTAAATATTCCAAACGTGTCCAGAACCAAGAACCAGTCCCAGCATAATAAAACAGATTAGCACGAATGTTTTTTTCCCTTGAAAATGTAAAGATAAATGCTAATTTTACGTTATGCGTTTTAAAAGAGTAAAAATAAGCTTTAAGATAACAAGATTCACTGCTTTGATTGCAAATTTGTGAAAAATAAATGCATTTAAAAAAGCGTCTTAATAAAGTGAGTAATTGTTGCTCATTAGCTATGCAAACATGTATTCTAAAAAAACAACTCATGCATGATTTATTTTTAACTTCTCAAAGCAGTTGATTGTGTTTCGTGCTGACTGTCTAGAAAAGAGATTGCACCTTTGTTCAGCCTCCCTGTTTTGGTTTTCATTTTTCTGTTTTTTGTTTCCATTTTCTTGCCTGTCTGAAATGCCACGCAGCTACTGGCAGGAGAACTGAGGCTCCGTTTTCTGGTGTGCACAAGACAATGTTTAAAACGGGTACAGACGCTCTGGAGCAAAGAAGTGTTACACTCGTTCCCTTTCATGTTCTGCAGCTTTTATTATGTAATAAGCAAAACCTCATTTCCACCCAATTCCCATTTGCTGAGACATCATTTTTGTGTTTTCTGTCTCCCATTTGTCCCCCCGAGCTCCTCCCCTCTCCTCTGTTCCTGCTTTCATTCAGAAACAGATGTACAGAGCAACCAGCAGCTCTCCTCTTCAGATTCCTGCTTCTCTTGCTCAATGTTTCCCCCTTCCTGTCATTTCACTTCATGCTCTAAATGTGCTTTTTTTTTTTTACTCTCATACACCTAGCATTTCTGCACAAAGTTTACAAAAATGTCAAGATCACGTTTTGATGCAGTGCGAAACTTAAAAGCACAGATTTTACAGGAAAGGAAGATATTTTAATTATGATTTTTTAATTGACCTTAACTTTGAATTAGAACCACCTGTTCTCTAGAAAATAAACAATTAAACTATATCTATATCTAGAAATTAGCAGATTTCTATCAAATTCTGCAAAAATGCGGCTTTCCAGCAGCAGGAGCAGGCCCTAAACCTCGACGTGACACAGCTGTGAAACGCTTGGTTTGTATTCCTCTCAATTTCATGGTCAATTTGTGAGTTTATTTCTAAATTTAATTCTACCAAAGTGCACCGACTGCCGCCATCCTTTAGGCCAGCTGTCATAACAGAGTGTCCCCTCACATCCAGGGCTGTTCACATGATGACTGAGCTGTGCAGCCCAATTAGACCAGCTGCTGTGGACATACCAGAGTGCTGCAAGGATGTGCCCTCTGCTCTGTGCTTTATTATCATCTCCCATAATTAACTTTTCCTTGTTGTCAGGAGAGTCTCATGCATTATGCAGAAATCAAGCAAATTAACCAACCTTTTATTTGAATGCAGACTTAATTGACCTATTTACAACCTGCTCCATCCTCTTAAAGAAGTGAACACAAAACATGTTTGTGTCACAATAAAAATAGACGCCAATACAGTCATTAGGTGAGAGCCTTGATCAAACTTGCTGTTTAGATGTCTGGATGCAGCCCAGGCAAAAATGTTTAATTTCCCCAAAATCCCTGCAGCACTATACCTGGCTGAACACCAACGCAGAGGCATGAGTGTGCATGTGGTGGCTGCAATTTCACCTGGAGCAAAACTCTGTTAATCTCTAACTAAAGGAGACACCCGCGTGTGTGAGAAACACGACAGCAGCAACATGTAGACTTTCTTCAAACTGGCCCAGAACTTTTATTTATTCAGTTCGACTAAAAAACTCCAACATCCCTACTGTAGAGCAAGTGCATCTTATGGATGTTAAGAGCGACATATAGGAAAAATTTTTATTTTCATGCATGAAAAGGTGGGAGGAGAGTGGTTATTGCAGTGATAATACAATTTTAAAAAGAGCCAGACTTACCATTGCGCACAAAATTATCAGCGACAGTTTAGTAGTCATCCTGCTTCTTCTGCTGGAGTCACATAAAACAGCCCTAGAGCGGAGAATGCAGCGCTGTGAGGAGGAGGAGGAGGATGAAGAAGGAGAGGAGAGCCGCTCTGCACGAGAGCTCATTTTAATTCCAGAGGCGCGGATTTTTATCAATGAGTCCGCACCATGCTGCGTCTGTCCGGGACTTCTGCGCTGCGCTAGAGTTGGATGAAACTGTCAGTGCAGCCTCCCTGTTACGCCGCCACTATCACTCTCTCTCTCACACACACACACACACACACACACACATTCACCCGCGCACACACACACACGAATCAGAAGAGGAGAGAGGAGGAGGTGGAGGAGCCCGTCCTGTCCGGAGTGCTGCTAAGCTGCAAGTGCACTGCAGAGGAGCAGAGAGGAGGAGGAGGAGAGGGGCACGTCCACCCTCCGGTTTATTACCCCCATGGTCCTGCAGTAAAGACCTGATCCTCCCCTATACGAGTTTTCTCCTTGTGAGATGGACTTTATAGCAGCCAGTTTACAAAAATAAAGCAATTAATTATCTGACGATTCAATTCAACATTATCATTTTCTTTTTTATGTGTGGATTCTTGTCAAGAGAAGGGGTTTTCTAGAATATTTGAACATTGTCACATAAAAAAGGTGAAAATCCTCTTCTGTTTGAATATAATCATCAGCAGATTAAGCACAGACCCAAAGGTCAAGGGTCAAGGAGCCAGTTAAGCCCTGGGTCCATCCCAGGAATAACAGAAATCATCCCAGAAAAAAAAAGCCAGGAAGAGAGAAACTCCCAGAAAAACACTTGATATAAAGAAATATTCTTGGCTCGTAAAACATCAAACATAAAAAATGAGACAAATATGGCCCAGGGTGAGATAAAAAGATACACAAATGCTGCACGAACAAAATGTGCTGCTAAATGATCAAAGGTAAAGAAAAAAAGATCTAAAACGACCACAAATATATGCAAAATGACCACAAAGATGCTGAGAAACTCGAGATGAGATAATAAATGACAGCAGAGGCACAAAATAAACAAGAAACACAAAATGAGGCACAACAGCCACGAGGAGGTTTGGTGAAGTCCTGCTGGGTCATATTATAATAAAGTGTGTTTCTAATGTTTCTGGATGTAAATGAAAGGAGCTTAATATTAAAAACACCTGTTCATTTGGTGTCCGCGGCCTCAAAACCTCCCTGGAATAAAAGTCAACATAAAGTGGCATCCCAGATAAACCAGTGCATGTGTTCTAGATGGCATACGCTCTTCATCTTTTTCCTCAGAATAACACATTTTTTTTCTCATTTAGTAAATTTTATGAATCTGCTACAACTCGTTTTTCCACAAGGGGGCGACCCGGCTGAGCTGTCATTTCACAACTGGTACAAATAATCTCATTTTTCCTTGTAGAACTGGTCCTGCAACCTGAAGCTCTTGTTTGGAAGCTGGATGAACTTGTTGAACTTTAGATTAGTTGAGAGCCATCTGCTGCATCCTTTCTTTCCTGTCAAGATGAGACTAAATTTGGTGACACCACTCCAAAACCACAAATGCAAGTTTAAGAAAGTAATTGAGTTTGATGCTCATTGAGGTACTTAGCCTTTACACTTACGGACACCGTGTTGATGGATATTGATCCGAGATATTGAGGCCATGTGTCTGTTACAGTAATAAAAAAACAGGCCGTTTCACCTGCTTCGTTCCAAAAGGATCCCACTGCTGCTGCTTCTACACCAATTATCAGCTGAGGGAACAATGTCCCTGCAGCAGAGGCCACAAGACGATTTAGTTTCACAGTTAAGATCCGAATGCTCTCCAGTATTGATCCCAGGACACATGCATTTTCCCACTTCCTTTAGATTCACCTTTTAAAAAATCATTCTGACAACTTTGGCATCTTCATCAATACCGTTTGTTTCTCTATTTGTGTTTTTAGTGAACTGAATCTACAATTTATTATCTGTAATCACTGCTACATGCTTGTTTTACAGGAGATTTGGATCCTTTATAGTTGCTGTAGTGATAACTGATATGTCAAACAAAAGCTACGTGAACATTTGACCTGATCGGGGTAACAGAGATGTTCACCACACAAAGGAAATGTATCCGTCCAATGGCCAAAATTGGAAGTGTGTTACTGATATGTAGATGTGTGCTGACGAAGCTCATGGTTGGAGACAGAGACTTTCTTCTGTGCGTATCACATTCCAGATGATGGGTCAGCAAAAGGAAATGTCACACAACTGGAAAAGGTCTTTAATAAAAGTATTTTAGATCATTTAGATGAAATTGTTGCCCAAGAAAGGATGGGTTTAGGTGGGAAGTCCTCTGAAAATCCTTCTTGGTTTTTTCTCCCCCATCACAGGTACTTGCTGACTGTAGCTCCGCCCACTGAAGAAGTCTTCCTACAGGCTGTTGCTGTCACACCTGCAAGTAATCAGGTTTTTTTACTGACGTAGGCCCAATCCTAGTACTCGCACTGCGAGTACGAAAACTCCCCCCTCAGAAGATATGTGGAATGTGCCGTCGCTACGGCAACTCAACTCTGTCTCCTTCCCCAGCCTGGGGGGACTGCGGGAAGGCCGCTGAAACGTTCCAGGGTCACTGCAACCCTCCAACCCTCAATGCCCCTCCCCCTAGCCACACTGTGGTGACATGCACTGCTTCATCGTGGCTGCAGGAACTGAAGTGGGGATTAGTCCCAAACCACCCCACCTAGTGGACACTTATGTTGTGTTATGTCTGAAGTCTGTTGCATATCTGTCTGAAGTATTTTTTTTGCAGGGCAAAGCTGCCCTCCTGGTGGGAGGGTAACTCTGAAGTGCCTTTTTTTTTCCCTCCACCTGAACCGATCCTCATGTAACCCCTCTTATCTCTATTAAGGTAGCGCAACTCAGGGTTGCGAATGACCACAGTCACCAATTCTTGTCATGTGTCTTGCCCGTGTATGTCTGATCTCTGAATTGTGTGTACTGAAACTCTAATTTCCCTCTGGGATTAATAAAGTATCTTTGATTTGACTGAATCGGGACAGCCTACGCGCTCGCACCCCTGGCTGGGAACGCGCAACTGAAGGGTGCAAGTGTGGAAGTGCGTGTGTTGGGATTGGGCCACTGAGCAGACATGGCTGACTGAATTAAGATTTTCAAACTACCTTTAAAGGCTTTGTTTACAAAGATTTTCAAAATAATTCTTTTCCCATTGACTTCCTTTTCCTCTTATGAATCATTTTGTGCCTCTGTGGCCATTAAACGCTTAATGTTCCCAGAATGATTGAAGATATTATGAATAATAATTATAAAACATATAAATGTTTTTGGGAACAAAATTGTCCCTCAGAGGATTTTTTAAGTTTCATTCTCACCTTTTTTGGCAAGCTTGGGTCTTTCCTCCTCTCCTCTAAAGAAACAACTTTCATAAAAACTCTTTTTCTACCAAATGATAACAAGAGATCTGTTCGTGTTCCATTTACTTGCTTTGAATTGTGTGTTGTTTTGTTTGAAATAGAGGGATGGGTGTACACGATAGGTGCTGATAAAGTCAAGAATCAGCTCTATATGTTTGATCTGAGCTGCAGAAGATCAGTGCACCGTCACAACTAGTTCGCTAAAAACGAACAATGGTCAAAACTGATTATTTATATTGTTTGCTGCCGTTAAATAATCAGTTTTATCTTACAGGAAACAGGTGGAAATGACCTTGATTCTAATCTCTTAGATCAGTATAATCTGATCTATTATATATGTCTTGCCAAAAGTCTTAGTGTAATCTACCAAGCTTCTGTCTTATCTCTAAACTTTCCACTTATCTGCTCTTTCCAGAAATAATGTTCTGCCTTCTTCATCTGGATAAGCCACAGGCCTCAGTGTCGACAGCTCGAATTATCCACAAGAAGTCTTCCTTTTTTTTTAAAATAAGTTTTTTTCATGGGATGTGAGCTCATTCTATGGAACAATCACAGTGTTGAAACATCTTGTCCCAGTTACTGATTAATTATAATACTCAATAATGATGATTTATTCAGTTTTTCTGTAAATAAACGGTTCTGTTTTGGTTTTCATTAAATTTCCTCATTCGCACTAGGCCTCGGTATCCTGAGTTAGGTCGTCATAAACGATCGGAAACTCAAAAACTAAACAGCTTGTTGCTGTGTCCCAGCTGCCCGACCATCACCTGTGTAAACACAGCGTGTGCCCTGCGCCTCCCAGCTTCTGCTTTGCAGGTATGTCCCGTTGGTCTGCAGAGAGGGGTCACCTGTTTTACAGCTCCGGCTGCTGCTCCACATGGAGACAGCGGGGGATCTGCAGGCACATCTGAACGGGAGTGCATTCTGACCACCAGCAACGTTAAAACAGAAACAGGAGACGTTTGGTGTTTTTTCTGATGCGAGTCCCGGAGCGTAGCTGTGCACCTGCTTGATGACACCATTCCCCACATGTTTCTGTCTGGTTTCAGCAGTCATGGAAGGACTTGTGTTTAGTGGCTGTGTGTGCTGGGTCGTTGTAAACACAGTGAACCGACTCCAGAGCAACATGACACTGCTCAGGTGGTTTTCTGCAGCTATGTAGCACGCTGTGGATGCCTGAGAAACCTCCCCCAGGACTTGGGCATCCCGCACATGTCTAACAGGAAGATGTTACTCATAAACGTGCTGAAACAGATAAATAAATGATAATGTAATGGCCACTTACAGCAGTAACTAGTTTGCTTTTAGCGATGCCTCCTGAGAAGCAGCTTCTTACTTAATGCGGCAGAATCTTATTTTCAGCCATAAACGGATATTTTTATTTACTCCAACCATCAGATCCGTTTAAGCTGTGCGTCACAAGATGAGGCGGGGTTGTTATGTTGCATGTGCATATTTTAGATTGAGAAAGCTGGATGGAAATGTTATCCTCCGCTCCAAAGCACTCAATAAAAAAGGGACGAGGCTTGTAAAATATTCTCTGATCTGCTGAGGTGTTGCACCTCTTCTTTCCTCTCTCTAAACAAAACAACTAAAGAAGACAAAATTTGTAGATAAAATAGCCTCAGACTCACACTCTCTACGTTAGAGTTGCTGCGAAAGCCTTTAAATAAGCCTTCTCCTTCCTGGTCACAGATTTCATGGACCTGGAGGACTTTCAGGGGTTTTATTGCCATACCAGCCCCTTAGTGACGCCATGATAAAAATAAATAGAGACAGAGAATGGAGATCAAATACACCACTCTCCATGCACCTTGAGGATGTTAGGCTTGCATGTGTGTGACCGTTTTCATACCTCCCACACCACTTAATCTGATATTCACACCAACAGAGACTGGCCAGCTGTGTCGGGTCGGGGAGAGGAAGCAGTCGGGTGTTTTACTCCTCAGGTCCTTTATTTGTCCGTTA